AGATTAGGCAAAATCGAGCCGAAATTGAAAAATAGAGCTGAACTGATGTATTTGGTGCGGTTCGATTTTTCAAGAATTCGACATGTGGTGCGGTTAGAATTTTGAAAAAAAACCGCGAAAATGTCAGTGTGCTTCGGTTTTTTGTCCGATGGGTGCAGTTTCAACCGAACTGTACCGAATATGTTAACGTGTCAATTTAAAATTTTGTCAATTTGATCGGTGACAAAAGTTCAGTTGGTTCAAAGAGACCGTTATCGTGCACCATATTGTTGGCCGAATTGCACCTTAATAATTGTTAGATTGCACATTATAGTTCGTTTATCATCCAACCTCAAATAGAATTTTTGGTCCGACTCTTTATATGTTAGTCCGATTATTCATTTTTTACTTTTATAATTTCGATTATTTCATTATGGTTGAAAATCAAATTGCCGACCGACCCATATACAAATATTAATTTTTCTTTTATATTTTTTACATGTATATTATTTTTTATAAAATAATATAATATATTAAATATAATTAATAAAATACTATATATTTATTTATAATACAAATAATAATTTATTTACATTATTTGAGTCAATTCGATTAACCAACAAATTAAACCGATGTGCATGCTCGCATGCAATATTGTATGCTCGTCCGATGAACAACTCTAAGCGCGGTTGCATTTTGATAAATTTGTGAATTTTCAAACATGTAGGCGATAATAATTAAGTAATAACGTAATAATTTAACAAAAATTTTAATATGCATATCATCACATAATACTGTGCATTTTTTCGTATTATTATAGTGCAAATATTGATCAACTATACACATGACATGTGCAAATATATTAAAATTGAATAATTGCAAATAGGTCCTCCATGTTTGTCTAATTCTAAAAGATATAACCCAATCTAATTTACAAAATCTGCAAACAGATTTCCACCACCATCCGCGTACCAGCCGCCTCTTCCGGCCATCGCCACCGTCTTTAGATCCCAGCCTTGACACTCGCATGGTCAGCTTCTCCGCCCTCTTCTCTTATCCCCACGAGTTAATCTCCATGTCAGTTATCATTAGCAACAACTCCGGCCTGAATTCACACATCTCAAAGCCCGGCGCAGCTGAGTACAAGGACGATGTTCACCATACCACGCATATTCACTCTCCGACTCCACGTACGGCGAGCCCGTTTCCAAAACTACAGCCCGGAGGATGACAAATCGAGCTAGGTGTGGACGTCGATGTATGCGTCGGGTAGTCGGCGATGTTCGGCTGATGGCGGCGACGAGCTGAGACCTCAGCGTGGCTCGTCGGGACGACGGGCTGATGATGCGCCTGATGGTATGACGACAATCCAACGGAGATCGGTGGCTGGGTTAGGTGGTCGGGCGATGGTCTGTGGTGTCGAGAGGTTAGGTGGGGCACTGGTGGTCCGACGATGGTCTATGAAGTGTGAGTGTGTGTGTGTGTGTTGTGCGTGTGTGTGTTTGTGGGTGAAAGAGTAATGGATGGTGTAGGTGGGACGGGTGGGTATTAGGATTAACGTTGGGTGGTGGTGGGCCCTACATGCTAGTGGAATGATAACAAATGTTCAATTTTGCCCTTAATTTGTGGTCAAATTTCTATAATTGACAACAAATTGTACACTTATTTGCAAAACTGCTACCATATGTTTGTCTGTATATTTAATATTTTACTAAATTATGACCAAAATCATGACCATTGATATGTTGGATCTAATGTTTCAGAATCATTCTTATTCCTTTCACTAGCTACCATTCTCATATGATCCTTTCTCCATGTCATAAATGTTTTCAATGATAATTTTGTTTAATTGAGAAATAGTAATGTTATTATTTTTGAACAAGAAGTGATCAATAAGTTTTTATAAAGGTATATATGATTATTTCATATACAAATATATAAATCATGCCCAATATGGATGTCAAATAAAACTTTATAAAAATAAGTAATTTGATATATCATATAGAATAAATACTAGCAGACAAACATATCATTGAATTTTAAAATTATCTATAATTTAAATAAGTTTAGCATTTTATAATTAAAAAATCATAATATATATGGATAAAAGTCCAAATTTATATACAGTATCCTGACCACTAAAATTGGCAAATAAAATTACGAATCTCTAAAAATAAAAATTGAAATAGAATTACAAGGCCAACATTATATTTGACAAATAGGAGATCTAATAAATCAAATTTCAAAAAGCTCTTTACATATAATTACAAAGCATCAAGAAACTCCAAAGTATATTTAATAAATGGAGTTCCAAATAGCATAATTGTATTCCTATCCAAAATCAGACTAAATCGCACATACAATTTTGAGCCAATTCATAATAATAAAAAAGATTTACCTCTCATATAATCGATTATTTATCTAATCTAATTACCAAAAAGGAAAAGAAAAAGAAAATGATAAAAATATAAGGAGTGGGTCAGTTGGCACACAGTCCCGTACAGGCCCGCTAGTGAAACAAAATCGTGCGTTACCAAATTTTGTCGCACTCCCCACTCACACTTACATCGCCAAGCAACATAACACCCAGCCGTAGCAAATTTGGTGCGACGCGTGGCAGAAAACCGGCGGTGGCAGGTCGGAGGTGGCCCACCTGACCGGCAGCAACCGGTCACCGTGTTTCTTCCCGCGAAGGAAAAATAAGAAAGCGTTTGCTATTCTCACAGTCACACCCACACGGCCACACGCACAGAGTACCCTCGAGCGCTCGAGATATGGCGAAAGGATTTTCTATGAGCTTGAATTTTTGAGGTAATAAGCTAGCGCTCGTGAATGTTTCTACTTTCAGGGTTTGTGTATATCTGTGAGTATTCCATTTTTTTTCTCTCTCTCTATTTTTTTTCGCTTTTTTTGTTGAACCTCGTTTCGTTTGTGTTTCTTGCTTTCTTGGTTCCTTTTGTTTTTGTTGATGGCGTCGGTTCTTGGGTTTCTGCGTTTGGTTTTCAGGTTTCAGCGTTGCTTTGGGTTTCTTAATTTGTGGTGTTGTGTTGAGAAAAAATGAGAAGAAAAAGGGGGGAATGAGTGGGGTTGAGCAAAAGTTGGTTCTATTGTTGTTCTTGGAATTTGGAAGGGATGCCTGCCTTCTTCTTGTGTTTCTTCTTGGGTTGATGTTTAAACATGTTTTGCATGATTTAGCTTTTACCTTTCGAGAATTTTAGGAAGTACTGCGGAAATGTGATTAGGTCTGTTTTGCTTAACAGCATCTGTTTCATTTTAATGTCTTATTGTATTTGATTGGATGTTGCCCGTGTGTGTGTGTGCGCGCGCATTTGCATTGCATGTATGTCCAATCAGTGAAGATATGGGTTTTCCTTGTGTGTTATTATCCATTGTTAGTCGTTATTCTGCTTTGGCATATGTCAGCTCTATGTGATTTTTCCTTCGATGTAGCTTTTCTTTTGGTAGACCTTATAAACTGGTGCCGTTTGTTTGGGATGACGTAAATCACGTTCAGGGTTCTTCAGGTTTGGGGTTCTTTCTGAGCTTAACTAGGAGATGAAGTTTATGATCTTTTGGGAATTCTGGACTTATGGGCTTCCTAAAGTTCTGGCTATTTAAGTGTTATCTCTACTTCTTTCTATGTCTATTATACTGAATCTGCACCAGCTACACTAAGTTTCTCATTCATGTTTTTTAATTACGTTATATGCCTTTATTTAGTGCGACCACATTATATCCCACGACTATCTTTCTTGGATGGCTGCACATCCTTTTCTGTTCCTGTTGTTAGTTCTTTAATCTTCCGTGAATTTTATTGATTCGGCATTGTATTCTCACGCTTAGTTCTTGAATAATCTTGAATGCATACTTCTTGTGTGTTAGTTTTGCATAGTACATTGCGCTTCTTGGGATTTATTTACATGTCCTAGTGGCAAAACACTTATATGAACCAGGTGTTAAAAAAATCTATTAATCTCTATTATGGCTCATGTACACAAAGTGGATCCTATTTTTAATTTCTGAACTCTTTTTTGTCTATTAACTTTCACCTGATGATTGTGGAATTGTGAAACTCTATCTGCAGTAAGACAAACTAATGTGTTTATAGTGTTTTTTATTTTTTGTTCTGCCTTTTTGTTTTGTACCTTTTAGGTATCATCTGATGAAAACAACATAACTTACCTTTATCTTTCTTCACAGCTATCTAGGATTTCTTGCACCCTGTTTTTACGTCAACCGTAAGTGATGCCTTTGGAGGCTTTCCGTGATCCACACAGTCCATACCCAAGGTCTCTAATTTTACCTGCTAATTTGGAGGCTTTAGTCTCGCACAACGTGCTCAGAGACGAAGAACGCATGAATCCAATTCTCCACATGGCAGAACTGAATCCAAATTTCGGTCCAAATATTATGAATGCCACTCTAATGGAAAGGTCTTCCATTTTGAGACCCGCTTTGGCTACTGATGCTGCTATTGCAGCTTATTTGCAGAGTCATGGCATCCGTAATATGGAGCCTTACATCAGCCTACCTTCAACCCCCATGTCATTTTCTGGCAACAGCTTTATGAATGTTTTTCAAAATGATGATACGTTTCCTCATTTATTTCAAGACGAACAGAAGGAGAAAAAAATGCAGCAGCCAGGAAATTTTAAAGGTCCTAAAGAGCTATGCAAGACGAAACCGACTTCTCGGGCTTCATCGTCTGCGAAAGTAAAGAAGGAGCGTGGCCCTCTTACACCAAGCCCAAAGAAAAAAAGAGTAGATCATAATCAAGAGAACATCCAGCAGCAGCAGCAGGAGGTTATTGATAAATTATTTTGGAATGAGTTTCAAGCACGTAATACACTGATAACAACCATGGCTGAGAAATATGGGCTTCAGAATGAGCTGCAAAAGCCGATTTTATATTCATCTCCCCTGTTCAGGGGGTTTAATTTGCCGCCACCGAAGCAGATCATGAGAAGTACTTTGCAGGATCAGGTTAATCTGCAAATGGCTTTTATGCCTTTTCTTGAAGGTGGTATTTGTTCGAGGCGATTGAAGCAGTACCTGTATCATCTGAGGAACAACACTCATGTTANTCCCTTTTTAAAAGTACTTGTATCCCATTTATGTTTTGCTTGTGTCTGATAGGAGTTTCAAAATATTTTGTTTATTTCTTGCATTGTTAAATTCAGTTGTTGGTGTATCTACTTTGAAAGATAAAAAAAAATCAAGCCGTGAGTACATTTCTGGAGATATTAATTGAATGACGTTTGCTTCACATTTTGTATTTATACACAGGACAATAGCATTTCCTACTGGCAAAAATTTGTATCAGAGTACTATGCTCCTAACGCGAAGAAAAGGTGGTGTTTCTCTAACTATGAAGATGTACAGCTGCAGACAACTGGTGTTTTCAACTCAAAATCTGTGGTCAGTTTCTATTAAAATTCCGCTTTACTTTTGGAACTGAATTCATTTTCTTGCATGTGTTTTTTAAAATTTCCCCTTCTTTCAGCTTTAATTTAATTTTGTCCGTTTCACTTTGTTTGAAATGAATCTTGTTGTATGTCCCAGGAGGCAGCAGGGTGCTGTGAAATATGTGGTTTACGATCAGGCAAGGAACTCGGTAAGCAGATAAGCACAATATATACTCTGTCTCCAACATGCACAAACAGATTGTTTTCTGAGAAATAAATTTATTTCCGCTCGTTTCTCTTTGTTATCAAAATTGTTTTCTGACAACTTAATGTGTGCTTGTGATTTGGTAGAGGCAACTTTTGACATAATTCCGAGGCTGTTCAAGACGAAGTTCGAGAGTGGAATGGTTGATGAAATTTTATTTGTGGATACGCCTCGAGCATATAAACATTCATCTTCTCTGGTGCTGGAATATGGGAAAGCCATTCAGGAAAGCGTTTATGAAAAGTTTCGTGTCGTTCATGAGGGTAAACTTCGGATTGTCTTCAGATATGACTTGAAGGTATTAAGTTTCCATGTTTTAAACATTTACAGAGCTTATGTTTGTTATATACCACTGGTTGTTTTTACTCTTTGGGCGTTTTGCTTGAAATTTCACAGATATTATCTTGGGAATTTTGCTCACAAAAACACGAGGAGTTTCTGCTTCGTAGATGGATAACTCCCAAGGTATTGAAAACTCATCTTTGGGCTTGTGAGTCTGGATTTTGTTTTATGACTTGATCTAGCTACTTTCGTTGTTAATAGGTTAGATGCACATTCAACATATTGTAAGTTTGCTCTTTCTGTTTTATTATTTTACTCTTACCTTGAGAAACACATCCAGGTCTTTTGAAGCCTGTGTCTCATTCATCAGATAAGCTAATATATCTAAAAGTATTTAAAGTGGTAGAAATCGTAGATGATTTTTGTAGACAACTGATACATATGAAACACATTTGCATGATTTCCATAATACATCCATGATGTACACTTAAAAATAATTTTTTATGAATACTGCATCGGGATATATTGTTCGTCATCACTATTTTATGTGGCATGGTTCATTATTTCACTACATCTGAATACAACTTGCTCATCTGTATCGTACATAATTACAGTTGGGTGCCCTTCATTTATGGAAAAGCAGGCGCTTTATCATATATAGTTACACCCTGATCTATAAATTAATTGATTAATTCTTCTCATTTCCATTTTACTTGCAGGTTAATCAATTGATGCATGAATGCCAGGCATTTCAAAATGACATTCAGAGAGATGCATCTTTTAGGGTCTCATCAGCGAATTTGCAAACACTTTGTGATACGTGAGTTTTTTTTTTTTGTCCCTCTTGCAATGCCATTTCAGAACTGCATTATTATTTCTTCGGTCTTAATGTCCTTGAAGTTTAAAAAATTTGGCTAAAGAAGTTGGCAGAATCTGTCAGCCGGGTGGAAATGATAGCTGCTTTATAATGTTATAATTCAAAATCAGATAAAATGCATATTAATTATTGTGGACTTGATAATTTCTACTGGATCCGTGGAAACTATAGTTATGTATAGCCAGATTAAGGAGGACCACTTAGCATAGTTATGTATAGATGATAAGCATTTAGAAGAAAATCAGTTGTAAAGATTCCCTTAGTGGCTAGAAAAACTTTTAGTTGTACCATGCGAGATGTGTGTGATACTTCATGGTGCGTTTTTTAACTACATTATGCCTATTTGGGCCATAATTGTTTAGACTATGATATGTGACGTTCTCGAACAATTTCTCTTGGGCAGATTTGTTTCAGCTGGGAATCAACTAGTAAGAAATATGGAAACGCCACTGGTGGATGACTTGGGATATCCCAAACGATTTGTTAGGTGCTTGCAGGTAAAATCCAAAAAAAAAAACAAAAACAAAAAAAAAATGGAAAAGAATAGGAAAAAGGAAAGTAAAACTGTGCACTTTGTATTGATGAGACATCTGCTTGGTTTAATAATGTTTTTCAACTGCTTCATCCGCAGATAGCTGAAGTGATGGATAGCATGAAAGATGTCATGAATCTGAGTCTTGAGACTGGAATTGGACCAATAGGTATGCACTAATGCCTAACTATATTGGATAATATGCTAGTTCATTTATATTTACGTCTGTTCTTAAGATGATATTTTAAAACAAATGTTTGCATGGTCTCCTAGACGTTGTGGGCTTAGAGTGTTTCAGCTCATGGGCAACAAGAAAAAAACTTATGCTTTATCTGTTGGGGATGATTACAGGATTTGTTGTATATAAAACGAAAAATTCAAAAAAGGTTTCAAAATTACAAAAACACTGCTTCAGATTTGTCGGTCTTATTATATTCAAATGGCAAATCCAACTCAAAAGGTATTTTTATTGTGAATTTGCGTAGCTTCACTTGTAATTACTCCAAACCACGTGGATATTTCTTCAGAAATTATCCCATATCTATTGCTTTACAAGTCCATGCAGCAAGTAGGCACCACAGTTAGTTTCCTCAGGCATTTTCTTGAATGATGACTATTGATTAGAATAACTGCAATATTATCACACATATTTGCTGGTGATAATACGGGGATTCCTATTCTCTGAGTGTCAATTATTTCCAATTATCATCATCACACTACATCTTAACATCCCCATTCAGAGTGCTTCAACAATATCTGCTTTCGAGGCACCAAGACTCCTTACCAGACACGTGCTCAAAATCTATCACCATTCCCCGATCAGCCTAGCCCGGGATTTCATGCAGATATTTGTCAACTTTCCGAAAACAGCTCCATGTCAGATGCTGGAAGCTCAGGACTGCCTTTTGTGAGACAAAACTCTTCTGCTGCCTCTGTGAGGCGAATAGGACAAGAAGAGCCGAGCTTGACAGGTCATTCCAGCCGAGCTGCTCAATCTTCAGACTCCTCCTCCCGTGCAAAGAACCCTCACCAAGCTGCAGTCGAAAAGTTGCTTCATGAGATGGTGTCTGCAAACAGGGTCAAGACTGTGAACAACAAATATGAAACTGTGCAAAAACCGAACCAAATGTGTGGGAAAAGGAAAGGGCCATTTTATGGCGAAAGCTCTATTGCTCCGAATCCGGCAAATGCTGCATCAAGAAGAACTAATGTACACCTCTCTAAGCCCGTTAGCCGGAGTGTAACGGTTAAATCAGAACCATGTTCGCCGGAGCTGCTGCCGGAAGCTTTTCAGAGTTCGGAATTAGGGTTTATTAAATTCGAGGACATGGATGCATGAGACAGTGTCTTTATGCTATTTTGGTATCTCCAAAGAAACAATCAAAACTGGTTGCACTTTTTCACAGAGGGATTGTGTGTGTGTAATGTTTTGAAAGGGTGGAGGTGAGTTTTGTGATGCTTTTGAATGATGAGAAGCAGTTAAGTTCTTTAATCTTTAGGACTACATTTTTTTGCCTAGGTAAAAAACCGGCTTCTCTTGTCCATGTGATGAAAGTTGAAAATATCCTATTACAACTGATACTATGTTACATGAAAAATAGGATTTGATTTATCTGTCGAATGAGAAAAAGGAACATAGAATTTATATTCTAGTGTTGTGCTCGCCTGCTCGGTTATTGGATTGTGGACAATGGAATTGTGGAATACTAGGTGTGGTATACTTAGAGTTCCTTTGATATTTTAGCTGAAATGCCATGTTCTCATAGCTATAAGAATTGGAAGGTTATTGGATCTGTTTTTTGATTTTAGGTTATCTTGATGGATATAGTTGAAATGTTAAGTGATAATTAATAAATTAGCTAATGGCCTTATTTGATAATTAGCGGTTAATTGATAGCTGTTAGTTGATTGCATTAGCTGGTTTTACCAGCGGATTGAATTAGTTGTTTTGACCAGATGATTGTGTTAACGGTTTTGTGAAAAAATGTTTGATAAAATTAGCTATTTTGATTATTTGTTAATATGTAAAATTATTTATAAGGACATCATCATAATTTATCTTTCTTATTTATGTTGAATTTATAATAATTTAGGAAATAAAAAAATAATTAATATTTTAAATATTTAATTTAAATATAAAAAATATAAATAATAATAAAATGAAAATTTTTATTAATTGAGTAAATAAGATTGCATCATACAAACAAAGCTAATAACAAGTCATCACTATTTAAAAATTCTAAATATGATTGCAATATATCTCATTACAATTAAATCAATAACTAAAATTTAGATATATGTAACTAAAATTTATATTAACAATTTTCAAAAGTTCTCATGGACATTTAAATAACTAAATATATCATTTATTTAGAATTTTCTTTTACTTTATTAGATTTCTCTAATTGTTAGGGTGTTCCTAAATTTTATTCTTAGATTTTTCTAATTGTTTAGATGTTTATGCAACATTGAAACTTTTTCACTAGATTTCTCAAATTGTTTGAATATTTTTACAACTTTGGGATATTGTTTTAGGAGATTAGGTGATGAAATGAGATATATGATAGTGTATTAAATATTTGCCTATATATGTTCAAAATTTGAATTGAACTAAGATATATTTCGGGTTAATAATGGATAATTGTTGGATGAAAATGTAGATGATAAAATAAGGATGATTGGAAGATAAATTAATTGAGAAAAAGTTATTAGTAATAATAAAATTAGTTTTATTTAAATTGTTGGCGTTATTGATAATTAGTAGGCAGCTATAAGGGGATAACGTATTAATGGATAGTTTATTTAGCCGATACTAATTGCATTAGCATCTTATAAATAATTGTTTGGTAAACAGTTTATAACTTAATAACTAAAAAATAGTAAACAAGTTATAACTTGAATAATTACTTATAAAAAATAGATAATAAGGATATTTTTGTAAGTTATCGAAATATATTCTGTGTTTGTTAATAATATTGATATATATGGTGATTTACAAAAGTGTAAAAGAAAAAAATAAGTATTATATTAAATGAAGGAGATATAAAATAATTCTTCTATAAAGTTATTAGTTATTATTTAAATTGATGGCCTAATCTATAAACTAATCTTTATAATTTATACACGAATAGTAATAAATATGTCATTTTAGGATCATAATAAAATACATATGAAGGAAAAAAAGACTTAAAAATAATTTTATTAAGAATTTAAAAAGTCCACGCACCTAGAAAAAATGAAGCAATCAATTCAATTAACATGCACCAACTTAACAATCAGATGAAAAGAAATAAATAAAAAGGAAAATGAGGAGAATTGANAGTTTCATTTGTAATTTTTGAATTTTCGAAGGAGTTTGTATATTTATAAGTTTTTTATGCTTCTCTTGATTGAAAGATAAAAATTGTGGGAAGAAAATACACAAACCTCATAACATTTTATTTCCTATTTTTAGCGCAGCTATTTATTTTTACTTTTCATTAAAAAAAAAAATTAAGCTAATGATTGCAACTCATCAATGTTGAAAAAGAGTTCGATACAAATTAAATAATTTCGTAACTCATACACTGTATGAAATTATAAAGTGAAATATTGGAATGAATTGATTTCAGAAATACGTTTTTAAAATATTGGAAAATGTAACGTAATAAATATCAAAGTCAGAATTTTAAATAAATAAACTTTTCTAATTCGTGGACTTTATTTGAATCTATTGAACGATGGGGGACTATAAAAACATGGGCAACCTCACTGTTACTCTACAAAAATACTAATTCCAGTCGACCCTCCTTGTGAGTCCATACATAAGAACTTCTTAACAAGAAAGAATGATTGCCTTTTGCCAGTACAATTCTCATTCATCATCATCATAAGGAATAAACTGAAATCAAACTTGTGATTTAACTTTTCTTATGTACTGAAGGTCTGTAAACGATTAAACGAGCCAGAAATCGAGCTCGAGATTGGCTCGAGCTTTAACGAGCCGAACTGTAAAAAATTATATAAAAATTCTCTTATCGAGTCAAGCTTAACCAAACGAGCTTTAAATGAGCTCGAGCTCGGCTCATTAAAGCCTCGAACTCGAGCCATAACGAGCTGATCCGAGCCTCGCTGAGCCAGACTTGTTTAATTTAACAGTACTGTTTTCAAGAATAAACTCCCTACAAAGAGGTATGTTCTGTTAATGCAACTAAAACCGCCCGACTCTCTTCCGACCAACCGGATACACTACAACAGAGTCCACGCACAATCCACCCTTGGTGTGAGTGCAGTCGATTTGAGTCATCCAAAACTTTACTCTCATCAACTTGTAACAATTTTCCACAACAAAATCTCCCACATGGTAAATTATCCACTTTCCAGGACCCTCCAAGTAGGACTGCCTCGTGGCCAGCTGGCCGTTACAAGTCGAGAGATGGAACCTCACGGGCTTCTTGTCCCAGCCGTGCACATGCTCGGGATTACAGAGCCGCCGGCCAAACCTCATCAACTCCCGTCCTAATTTGAGCCTGAAAAAGAGGCTGTAGCTGCCCACAGGAAATGGGAACTCGACTTCACCATACACCTCGAGCCACCATATTTGCTGGAGGTAAGCCATCGAGCGAAACCTGTATGTGGGTGTGGGAAAAAATCGAGATCCTGGATTAATGCACCTAGAATGATTTAACAATATATATGATTTCAAGTTGTCTGTAAGAAATTATAACAATGGTCTGAGCTCAAGGTTTTGATAGTCATCAAACACCAACAGAAGCCCCATAGCCTATTCAAGCATTGCCTTTTAATCAAGTATCGGCCCTAAGGAATATTTTAACATATACGTCACAGAATAGGTCTTCCCTAATATCACGACCTAAATCAAATGTCATCATATGTTTCACCGAATAGTGCATGAGTAAAACGCTTATAACATGACTTAAGATAGTCTGAAATACTAATTATTACCTTAACTCGTTCATTATATACGATAATACTTCTCCGTAGCTTAGGAAGCCAAACAACGACAAATAAACAGCAGAAAACAGTTGCTATGGAGAAATTTCAACGCGAAGTAGCCCAAAACACGGATTTGATCGGCCAATCTAAATCCCCAATCTCTCAATTTCTCTTTTTTTCTGTGTCATAACACAAAAGCGCTTGCCCCATGATTTTTGGACCCTTCATTACCTTGATTCTTCAGTCGATACGTGCGTCCAGTACCTTCTGTCATCGATGCCCGTTATTGCCAATCCATTAGACGATATCAACATACATGTCTTGCCTGTTGTCTTATCCAACCACACTTTCTGCACATAATCTCAAAAGACCATATTTAGCTCCCATGAACATAATGCCAAATGCCATCTTGCATATAATCTGAACAAGGAAACTTATTCTGTACTACATTTTTGTTTCTAATCATGGCTATCTTCCAAAGTTTCAAATAGACATCTTCCAAGCTTACAGCTAAAAAACTCAACAAATCATACGATATCTCCCTTTACAAACTTTTCATAGACAACAAAACAAGAAAAAAGTCAAATTTTTTCGGTTCATTCGAAAATAGAGCAAAAATTAACACAGCCGCCATAGACATTTACAACAACACGAACAAACAAATAAATAAAATAATTACACTGAAAAAACGTGTGGGTTGATTTAAAATTGCAAAAAGATTGAACCTTTGTGCCACCATCCAAAGTGTTTGTCCTGCAAAGTACGGCGTAGATATCCTTCTTACAGAAACCTTTGGGGAAAATCTCCTTTTCTCCAAATACCGCCCCGATTACATCTTCATAGTTCGATGGCAGCTTTGAATCCCAAACGAAATCGGCAGACGAGGCCGCTCTAAAGGTCTGGTTCAACCCCGCGAGCCGGCATATCTGTGGCGGGTCCAGATAAGACAGCACCGCCGCCACGCAGCTCTCGGCAAGTCCCCTAGCCCGGGCTCCGCCGAGGGACCGACGGCGGAGCTCTGGCCTGAAGCTAATAGTGAAAACGATAGTCCCATTTCCGAAGGAACAGAGTTGGTGCTGGGCTATCGCGTTTAAGTTATTGTTTAGTTTGTAGAGTCTAGAGACAAATGGTGTCGTCCGTTCTGTATTTAATTAAGATATGTCGTTGAAATAATAAACGAAATAACAAAAATACAAATTAAAATATTCATTTCAATCTTAGTTTTTGACTTTTTTCATGTTCGAGCTCTCTCTCAAACTCGGCTCATTTATTAGTCCAACTCAAATTTTAATGAGTAAAAACTATTTACAATTATATTTAAAATTATATTTTTGAATTGTAACGAGTTACTCTCGTTTACTAAACAAATTTTAAACAAGCTCGGATTTTAACGAATAGAGTCGAACTCATGAGCTTGTTTTGTTTAACAACTCTACCTACTAACATAATTGAAAATAAAAGTAATAACTATTATATATTTTCTAATGAAATATATTAGTTATACATTCACATATTTTTAACTACCAACCTTATCAACCAATATTGTATTAGTTTATATTAGTCAACGCTTATCATTGCTTCGCTTCTGATCAAAGGAAAACCTCTTCCTCCTTCAAGGAGTGTTAGGGGGTAGCGATAACAAGGCGCCCGAATATTATATTTACGATTAAACGAGCTTCGCTTCGTATACTCGTAAATAGGGGGGGTAGTTGATAGGGATTATAATACCGACTCGGTCTAACCGGACAAAGACCCGTGAGATTGAGGCCAAGCAAGCCTAATGGTCTACTGGTCCAATGACCTACTGATCCAACGACCTACTGGTCCAACGACCTACTGGACTAATGGCCTGTGGTCCAATGACCTACTGGTCGAATGACTACTGGTCCAACGGCCTACTGGTCCAATGGCCTACTGGTCTAATGGTCTAATGGTCTAATGACTACTGGTCTAATGGCCTACTGGTCTAATGGTCCAACGGCTTACTGGTCCAATAACCTACTGGTCTAATGGTTGAGCATAGACCGTGCATTGATCAGCTCAAGTGTCGACCGGACCTAAGGGTCAATCGGACCAAGGTGTCGACCTCGACCATAGCGTCGACCCGTCGATTGGCCCAAGGAGTCGACCCCCGACCACAATGTCGACCGGCGAAGGGGCTTGGGGTCGAGCCTTGGCCCTCGAAGTCATCATACGCCATGTGCTCGGTCAATGAATGTCTAAGGATTTATGGTCCCGAGGACAGTACAATCAGTCACTATATAAGAGGTAAATTGACCGACGGAAGGTAACATGAACTCATTATTTCACTACAATAGTTATTATGCATTCTCTCGCTCTCGCTCTCTCTATCTTTCTCTTTTGATTGCGGGATTTTGACTTGGGCGTCGGAGGGTTTGCGCCGGAGCAATTCCGACGCTTTGCAGGTACCGGCGAACTCGAGTGCATGGACTGGATGACACTCACCGACCTACCACTCAAATCGGAGAGGACCTAGCGAGGAACTGGAGTCACTCGCCTTGGACCTTATCAAATCTAATTACGATTGCGGGTTGCTCAATATTAGCTGCTATACACCATTCCGTTTGGGTTGAGTTGAAGTGGCACAATTAGTAAAACGTAATCTTAAGAGGAGATATATAATTGTACGTGTAAATTCTTTAAAGTAGTAGTGTAGTTTTTAACATTGGACTTTGCATATGCTGCTTCGTCACTCATGGACGTGGGGTCAGCGGTTTACTTGGGCATCTCATATTTTTGGCTAATGTTTTTACTTTTTAGAGATAATAATTTTTGTTTGGTTCACCTAGTTTCTGGCCACCTAAATATTTTGATAATAGTTTATTTAGTAAATCATGAAAATGGCAAATAACGGATAGATTTGAAAAAAAAAAAGTTAATTTTGGAAGATAAATTATTATACGTATAATTTTTCGATTATATGATAACTCTTGGTGCTTCATAATCCTATTTATATATATTGAATTATGGTACTTCGTAATCTTATGTATCAACTTTTGGTTCTTCAGAGTAATTCATATAAATATGGATCATCGATAAAATACACTTTTTTTTAATATAAATGTATATTAAAAGTTCATATCTTTTGTATTTGGTATCAGTTTTTTCATATGTGATATATAAAATTAATTATCTTTATAAGATTCGATCCGACATTCATATTGCATAATAAAATAAATAAATAATTTTATTTATATTATATTAAAACCTAAATTATATGTTAATACTAAAGAGAAAAGAACGAAATTATATATCGATTAAAAAATATCTAAAAATTTATTATATGATATGAGTTAGAAAAATATTATAATATTAAACGAAAAAATCATAAAAGTGACAACGATATTTTGAACATAAATAATAATATAATTTTTTGAAAATTATTAAAATTTAAACAAAATAAAAATTCTTTTTTTAATTCTTTTTTTTTTTAAATAAAGAAGTATAATTTTTTATTTCCCAACATTGTTACACATTTATTTTACATTAATTTAACATAAATTTTTGTGTGGAAGGGCATACGAGGGTCAACTCATTATACTTTTGTAACTAAAAATACATATTAGTATTATGAAATGACATACTTTTGTCTATTTTATTTTGTAGAATGATATTTTAGTTTGAAAGTACATATTTATTGAAAAATTATGATTGTCTAATTGATAAGGCCTGTCTAATCGCAGGCTTTACTATCTATATATATATATATAAAGAGGAGCAACAAAACATTTAATTTTATTCTCATGCATTAAATTTTATTCTCCCTCCAAAATTTTCAGCATTCAATTTCATTTTTAGGTTACAAAATAACTTGTTTGAATGGCATAAATTATGAACATAAACCAATCAAGGGAGTTACAAAACTGTACTTAAATTTTAAGTCACTCATTCATGAAAATGGTCGGGTGTATTAGCATAAAGAAAATGGTTGTAACAGCTCTTCTATATCAATTACTTGATCAAAATCATTTTTGAAAATTATTTTCTTAATTCATATTTTTTGATCATGAATTAAATTATGATTTATTTTTATTTTTTTTAATATTGTTATCTTTTTAAAGTATTCTTCTCGGTGCAAATGCACAGATTGATTACTAGTATATATATATATATATATATATTGCAAGCTTAGCAATAAATTTTACTTAATAAATAAAACCTAATAAATTTTACCTATGTGACATTAACACACCCTATCTCATTAATAATAAAATATTTTATTACACTTTTTTTGAGTTAATTAAGACAAAAATAATTATATTTTATGTTAATTGAGTAATAATTATTTTTTTATCGAATCATATAATAGTTAATATTAAAATTAGTAATTATATTTAACATTAAATAATATATGAAAGTTACATAAAATTATATTTTACACTAAAATTAATATTATAATTTTTATATGATTAAGCGATTGTCTTTAAAATTAATTAATTTTTTTATGTCATAATAAAGTTTCTCAAAATCTCATAAACAATTGTTATAATAAATTTAATATTTTTCAGCTAATGAATTGGTCATGATCACTCAAAATTACAAAAATTATATATGTATTACATTTTATGCAATCAATATAATGATTCGTATGCAATCAAATCGTATATGCAATTTAACCAATGATCAAATTTTAAACTATTATACTCATATCTAATTTATAATTTGAATATTATACGCATAAATATTACTTATAATACTATATGTGTGAAATATAATACTATTATTTAACTTATAGTTGTAATATTATATGCATACAAATAATTTATAATATTTAATTTTACTTACATCTGTGCAAATGCACAAAGTAGAATACTAGTTTTTATAATTATAACATCTCAGTAATAAAGTTTACTATACTTCAAAAGACTTTATTGCATCTACCAAAATAAATAGTGTAGCATCAAACTCATGCTTGTCCAATGAATAATGATAATGGGATAAAATCCTCGAAATTAAATTACTCTAAATTAAAAGTTAATTGCTCAAAGTAAAATTACTCTATTCAGAAATTCCACAAACTGAATGATCTCAACCTCAATGAAATTTGCGTTTCAGAAAAAATAAATAAATAATAAATAATTATAATAATCCAACATTGGATCCCCATTTTTTCTTGACCAACTTAATCCGACCGGAGTTTGTAATATGAAAGAGAGGTGAATTAGTGTCACGTACGGGCATCCAAATAAATCTATTGACATGACCGATTAACATCATCTAACCTTTGGTTACACTTCTTTTGTAGCTTCTTTCATTATAATTGAAAGATAAAATATATTTTTATCCTTAAGTGCCACCACAGACTGTATTAGTGTATTCATGATAGAAATTTTGGTTGGTTCAAAATGAGTTAACGTGGCCGCAGTCTCCATTAGGACTTCAAACTAATTTTCTTGAAATATATAAGAAAACGTTGCCTTGGAGAGAAAACTTAATTAGTTACATAAGAAATGTGATGCTTTGGACCATATTAAATAATAATGTTATGCGATAACTTTGGATAATTTCGGAGATGAAGTGAAAGAGCAAAGGTAATACAGAGAACTCGGACATAAGAACTGAAGCTGATGTAAGATTATTTTTTTTTTTTTTGTTAATCCAGAATACTTAATTATTTGCAGATCACTAAAGTTAATAAAACCAAAGAACGCAAAATTTGGTTATGATAACTTAAGGACATGAAGAACTTACAATCTATCTTAAATTAAACCCATCTTCAAAACATTTGGCCTTCTAAAATGCTTGCCCGAAAGAGATATGTTCATCATCAATTTTCTCCAGATTTTTGGGCAAAAGAAGGTTGTTGCTTTATCCGCCCATTGACCAGGATCATTGTCTTCAATTCACCATCAATTTCCTCAATGCATGGCAAAATTTTAGTCATCCCCTCAATTCCCTAGCTCCCACTACAATGCACACCTAATTAAAAAATTATCGATTAATTAATGATCACACAATTTATTATTAAGACCAAATTAACTCATACATTCCGTGGAGCGATTTAACATGTACCAGGAATTTAAAAGAGGTTTCTTTTCAGTCAAAATTTCAAAAAAATACATTAATTTATTTTTTGGATTTTCAACACAAATTAATACTTCCTCCTTTTTTTAATAGATGTCGTTTTGAGAAGTTGCACACTAATTAAGAATATTTTTTTTGCCAATAATAACCCTCATTAATGAGGATATAGATGGATATTTTGAAAAAATATAAAGAGTAAATATGAAAAGACATAGTGTATTTATTAGCTAGATAAGGGTAATAATGGAAAAATATGTACAAAAGATCCAAAACGTCATTTATTTAGAGAATTATTAATAAAACCAAAATGACATTTATAAAAAAAAAAAGGAGGTAGTATATTTTTTTACTTATATTTACAATAGCTTTCAATTAGTAATATTGAATATTATATTTCAACATTCAATATAGTTTATATTGTTTATCATAAAGTATACCCTCTTTTATTAAATTAAGACAATTAAATTATGCTATAAGTATAAATCCAATAATGAACATAATATTAAATCATCAAAACAATATCACTTGCTTGTCGATCGTATGCATTTTTCTTAGCTTCTAAAAGGTATACGCGTAAGCAAAATGTAAATTAAATCACAATTTACATGAAAAACATACATATTATACATCACTTTTAGTTATGATGTATATTGCTTCTACACATTATGTACATCAACCTTTTTTTCTTTAAATTAAAGATGAACTGATGACAAAAATGTAGCTCCACTAGCAGTTTAATTAAGAGTGGCAAAATGATGTACTTATAATTTACCCTTATAAAGGGTTGAAAATTCATATGAACTGCTAAGATTAGATACATAAATAACCGATTATTTTTCGCGGATAAATAACCCATTATTTTTCGCGGATAATTTTTTTTACAACTTCTAACCCGAAGTCCAATTCAAAATTAATTCAACTTAATTTTTTTCAATATATTATCAATATAATTAAAAAATATCAATCAATTACTGTCCCACATCACATGAATTTAAATTCACTATTTGTCTAAATTTAACCACACATCATCTATATATATATAATTGATGGCTCATGAGCATTTAATAAAACCTATTAAATTATACCTATGTGGCAATATAACTTTTTCCCTCCAAAAACCGTTACTTTTTATTTATTTAATCTCTCATTTAATTATTAGATAATCAACACACTAATCACTTCAAAATTACAAAAATCATTCTAAACTTTTGATTGACCATATAATGTGTTGACTATTTAACGTGATTAGATGTCATTGTTGTGGTTACATTTAAATTAACTTCTTTTGGAAAATAAAAAACGTATTTGAAATTATTAAATAAATAATAAATAATTCAAAAAAAAATACATACCAAAATATACATTATATCATGATAAACGCAATTTAAAAAATAAATATTTCACAATACTTTATTTATATCTGTGCATTTTGCACCGGTCGAATACTAGTTTTTTTTAATAATCTATCTCATTAACATGAATAAGGATCCATGCAAACAAAATTTTGAACAGATAAATACATAACTTTACCCGGAGACGCGCACACCCAAATATATGCACCATAACAGGTAGGTCTCACCAATGGATAGGTACGTCATACATTCTCAACATGTGGGACCTCTTGCCTCTTTCTACCATATAATATAATATAATATGATGGAGTAACAGTTTTTTTTTGTTGTTCTAAACTCAGATACATTAAAACACACAAGCACCACAAAAATAACAATAATAATAATATAAATAATTAAAGCACCTCTCTTGGGTTCAGGGAATTTGACTTCAACAGTACTTTTTAAAAAAACTCTGTACAGACAGTTCTTTAATCCCAAACTAATAAAGAACTAATTTGAGCTGTCATTATGCTTCAATTCCTTCTAAAGACCTTTCCAAACTTCAGAGACACTGCAGTTAAGCATTAATCCATACAAAAATAAGCAGAATGTGGATTAAGAGAACCATGTATCAAAACTAAAGGCCAAGGGACATTAACAATAGCAGTACCAGTACATAACAAATCAATATTATTGTAATTGATATACCCAAAAGCCAAGAGCACAGAAGGAGAATAGAAACAATGGAAATAATTATATTACAAGCTAGAAATAGTTAAATGCAAATGAAGTTCAAATTCTTGATGTTTAATTTTTGAAAAATTCCAATCTGCACACGGATGCTGAGGGAACTTGGAAACAAATACCAGACAAGCTTTCTCGATCAGTGTGCGCATGTAATAAGTTACCCCCATGAGTGGAATCTTGATCAAACAGTAACAGTGAAAACTTGTAGTTAATTAAGCAAACAATTAACTGTTACTAATTACTGGTCAAACAACATCATGGACACACAGTTACCTACCCTATACCATTACGCGTTGAAGCCCGTGGCTCAAAGGGCCGGGTCCCGGTTGGGTGGTGCTCTATGTGGTACTGTCTGAACTTTGATTTTTTTTTTTTTTTTTTTTTTTTTTTTTCTTCTCGTATAACTTACAAAATGTAGATTCTTTGACATGTGTGGATACAGTGGTTAGGTGGAAATCTAGCAGACGTCATTTTTATGGCCGGATGCTGATGGGAATAAGATCCGGAATCTCGATACAGAGATAATGTACAACTAAAGAAGATCTAAGATGAGATTTAGGAACATAAAAAAGAGAAAGGAAAATGAAAGAAATAAGAAAAGAAAACAATGTGATTAGTGAGGGGCATTAACAACTGGTAGATGACAAAGTATTTAGCACAGACAACATGTTTGACATTCGCAGATGCTGACATCCTTCGGTTACGTTCCTAGTAATTTATGCGTCACCGTATATTTGTTTCCTACTCACTAGGCCAGGTGTAATCTACAGTTAGAACCAAATACTTTGTTAAATCTTGGTAGGAGAAGAGAATTTCTTTCTAATCAAAATAAGATAAACAAGCAAAGGATAAAATAATTTTCATCATGCAACACCCATTTTAAGCATTCTCAGGACGTGAATGCTAAAAAATGTAATAGCTCGGGAGAGAGATGTATAATGTAAGGTTCATCGTCATGCTTGGCTTTCCAACCACATATTTTTTACATTACGTTGACAAAGGATAAAGGGAGGGTGGTGGTGCTCTAAACAGAATTATTCTACTTTATTTTAATCTTCCCATCTACAGCTTATGGAGCAACCAACTTCTAAAATAAACAAATAACATAAATAAATAAAAAGACGAGGCAACTTTTTCTAAACTGTTAAATCTTTAACCAGTTGCAGATTCTTGCCTGCCTATTTAAACCCTTCACCGCGTGGACATCAGATACATTACAGCAACTTCTACTCAGCCCTGTCCCCTTAGCCCCATATTATAGCTCAACTATCGATTAAGCGCATTAATACGAATTTATTAGGTAACTCTCTCTAAGGGAAATATTAAAAATGTTCTCTCTAGCTTTCTACGTCGGGATTTTATCTGTAGCCACCATTGCCAGCTGGCTGTACAACTGGAGAAACCCAAGGTGCAACGGAGTCCTCCCGCCTGGCTCCATGGGCTGGCCTCTACTGGGAGAGACCCTACAGTTCTTTGCACCCAACACGTCGTCCGATATTCCTCCCTTTGTGAAAAACAGGATGCAAAGGTGAAAANCACCGAAATATTCGGGAAGCAGAATGTGGGGTCGTTGCACGGTTTCATGTACAAGTACCTAAAGAATATGGTACTGAATCTGTTCGGACCAGAAAATCTGAAAAAGATGCTTCCGGAAGTCGAGCACGCATCTAACTGGAGCTTAGGGAGATGGGCGGATCAGTGTACAGTTGACGTGAAGGATGCAACTGCACAGGTTATCTACCGGGACCAAATTTTATAATAATAATAATAATGATAATGATAATAATAATAATAATAATAATAATAATAATAATAATAATAATAATAATAATAATTCCAGTTTCCTTTCAAATGTGACTTGTAAGTTTTTTCCGTGCAGATGATTTTTGACCTGACAGCAAAGAAGCTGATCAGTTACGATTCGGAAAAGTCCCAAGAGAATCTGAGGGAGAACTTTGTGGCCTTCATACAGGGGTTAATCTCTTTCCCTCTGGACATTCCTGGCACAGCCTACCACAAATGCTTACAGGTACATTATATTACACGTGCGTGTGTGTGTGTGTGTATGTCTGAAATATAGTTATTAATGTACTAATATAATTTACTGCTTTGATCATCAGGGGAGAAAAAGGGCAATGAAGATGCTGAAATCCATGCTGCAAGAAAGACGGGAGAGGCCAAGAAAAATCCGAAGTGATTTCTTTGATTATGTTTTGGAAGAGCTTCAGAGAGAGGGTACGATTCTGACAGAGGCGATTGCTCTGGATTTGATGTTTGTGTTGCTATTTGCCAGCTTCGAGACAACTTCGCTGGCAATCACTTTGGCAGTTAAACTTCTTCTAGAGCGTCCATTGGTTTTGAAAGAACTTAAGGTGAGGGAGAAATAACTACTACTCTTTTGAACAACTAGATAAATGACGTCATTTAATACGCTCGAAAATGTGTCTCAGGAAGAACACGAGGGAATTGTTAAGAGGAGGGAGAACCCGTATTCTGGGCTAACATGGAATGAGTACAAATCGATGAAGTTCACATTTCAGGTGGGGTTTCACTCAACTTTTTCGGCCTTACGTTTGGAAATATTGTGCGCTAACGAGACTAGAATATTAAAATCACAGGTGATAAATGAAACAGTGAGACTGGCGAATATAGTTCCTGGGATTTTCAGAAAGACACTGAGAGAAATCAGATTCAAAGGTTTGTATTGAACACGAAATTAACCAGTTCACTTGTAAGGTTTGTTTTTTATAGAGCATATCTTCACACTGTTTTTGATGGTTCAGGTTATACGATCCCAGCTGGCTGGGCAGTCATGGTATGCCCTCCAGCTGTGCACTTAAACCCCAACAAATATAGAGATCCCCTTGAATTCAATCCATGGAGATGGGAGGCAAGTATTTGCACCAATATTAAAATTATGCAATCCATATATATATATATATATATATATATATATATATATTATCTCCTTGCCTGTTTCTAACCATATAATGACACTACTAAGTGCTTATAGGGGATTGACACAAATGGGGCATCAAGAAACTTCATGGCCTTTGGAGGTGGCATGAGATTCTGTGTAGGGACGGATTTCACAAAGGTGCAAATGGCTGTATTTCTCCATTGTTTGGTAACAAAATACAAGTAAGAATAACCAAAAACATCTTAAATTTTTAGACACTGTGTGTAGAACTCATAGAGGGACAGCTAACCTTTTCTCATCCTGCCAGGTGGAAGGCAGTCAAAGGAGGAGACATTCTCCGAACTCCCGGTTTGCAGTTCCCAAATGGGTTTCACATTCAAATCTCTGAAAACAGATGAGTTGAAGCAGCTGTTTCGATTCAAGGGAAGACATGGCGAGTTATTTGGATGATATAACTTAGAAATGATAGAGGACTCTACAGCTCTCTTCCTATACACAGAAATGATATAATACTCTTGAGCCATTTGCAGAGGGATAATAAAGACCTCTCTGTATCATTCAGGATTTACTTGCTTCGGGTGTAGCAGCAGTTTTTGGTTCCCATACATTATCCAAGAATTGAAAGTGGTAGGCATAAAGAAACAGAAAAGGAAAGAAAATTCATATCAGGATTTAGGATAAGCTTTGTTCGAGTTACTATCAGAAAGTAATATGTATATCCTCATTATCCAATCACTAGAATGTTATTCAAGTTATTCTATGTGTTCTCCTGTTACCCTCTCAAGTGGAGGTTTGTCGAGAATAGGATGCGGCAGTACATTACCAAGGAAAATCCAAATCGTATTAAGATAATGTTATGCAAGGTGTTTTAAACTACAAAATCAAGCACCTCTCGTCCAAATCTTGTCAATCTCTTCTTTTACGTTGAATGTATCATTATCCATCTTGTTAATAAACAGATTTTGTGCCTTACACACTCATGATTTTCATCAGAAGCTGCTATGTACTGTCATTCGTGGAAGGTATGTGAAAGTATTAGTAGCAAAGCCCTGAACCTGATCAAATGGTTGTAGAAAATCTGACCAAAGCTCAACATCCAACGCATATTTTCACCTCAAGTAAAAAATCACACTGCATGTTTTCCAGGATAATGCTACATTCACATGGACATCTTAAAGCGATTATCTTAATCAGGTGTTTGCTTATACCAGCTGATGCGGGTAGAAGCACGGGCCATGACCCACCCCTTTTGCACCCAAGCATGTTCGAAAAATAAAACAAAATACAAGAATAGTTCCTAAACTTCTATGGCAGAACTTTAAGATATAACTAAATACATGTTCTAGATTTCCTAATAAACTCACAATTCTTGAGTTAATCCATAAACCAGAATTGGCATTTCTAAGAAGAGAAATTGCTGCAACCGCCACAACCAAATTGTTTCAAAGTGCAATAGTAAAGCAACAGAAATGCAAGAAATAGCATATCACTGAGTAAAACTCATAAGCATCGGTATCTGTACCGGCATTATGCCTCCCACAAAACTCAGCAATCGCCAAAGGTATTGATCAGAATAACGAAAACAAATAGACTCACATATGAAGCAAGTTAAATACAACTTTTTTAATCCAAAAAGAAAAAAGAAAAGAGATAGATGAAGAAAAAGAAAAGTGTACCGTCCATTGAAGAAAAAGAAAAGTGTACTCGAACCATGTCGAATCAAACACTTCTTCTCATCTCTGAACTCGAGTTATTAGAGAGAGTGTTGGTTAGAGAAGCAGTTTGGGCGAACGCAAGGAGAAGCAGAGCTTTAGGTCATTAGCTTGAGAGATTTACGGCGGCTCTGAATTTGGGGGTAATCGGAAAGTGATTGCGTCATATGGTTGGGAAGGGATGCTAACGGTTTTGGCGGGCGCGGGTCGACTGGGGAAAGGTCTTTGCACGTGAGTCCTTAGTATTCATACTAATTTCGGATTGATTCAATATAACCTGGTAATTGATATTAGTAATTTCCAATTCATTCAATTAGTTTCCAATTAACGGTGGAGATTAATTGCTACACGGTTTCCACTATTATATATATATATATATATATATATATATATTTTTTTTTGTTATAAAACTAAAGAGAAAGAGAGAGAACAGATAGAATGTATTCTCTTGGTGTGTTTTTCATTATAACTGAAGTTCCTATTTATAGGAAAACTTCTGATGGCACAATCGTAATAATACAAATACATTGAGGGCAAAATATTTATTCACATACATTATTTTATTATTTCATAATATTCCCTTTTGAATGATTATTTTCTAAAACATATTTTAACTTCTTTGAACAAAGCCCAATCTGAACATCTAAAAGTGTATCTTGTAGCCATCATGTACTGGTCCTTCAGTATGTCAGGATAATCCAGTGTGACAAAACCTGATCATCGTGGAATCATAAAAATGCTTCCTCAGGAAAACCCGGTGGGACAAAACCTGAGCATTGTGGAAGCACATCATTGCTCCCCCTCAAATCGATCATCTTTATTGGAGTATCCATGTGCTGCCTCATTAAAACCTTGTCAAGAAAACTCAGTGAGAAAAAACTTGATCGAAGGAATAAGAGTACATCTACTCCATCCTCTTCTCATCAACATGAGGAATCACATCATTTATCCTTTATATCCTCATTATACCATGAATATGCCTCGTTAAACCTTATTAGGAAAAACCCAGTGAGACAGAATCCTAATGAAGGAAAAGGAACACAATATTCATGTGAATACGTCATCCCTGTTGCCTCATTAAAAACCTTGCTGGGAAAACCCAAGGGGACAAAATCTCAGCTAAGGGAAAAAGAGTACAACACGTATTCCATATATTCATCATAACAATCTTCCCATAATTTGTATGAGTATCATATAGAGTCATTCAGATTTTCAGATACTGATGGTAATCATGATAATATGCCATATCATGCTTTGTGCAACTTTCCAGTCTTAAAATCATTCTCAATATCAATTGATTTCAATGGTCTTATTCCCAATAGTTTTCAATATTCATATTTCAGCTGGTTTCATTCTCGTCAATATCATTTATATAGCGTTATTCATTTGTTTGTGTCGACACTTTTGCTTTATGTTGGGATCTGTGAGGATCTCGTTATGTACAAGTTATGAATTCAATAGCAAACGTAAACCTATGTGCATCGGATCTAAAGGTTTGACGTAGAAAACTTACGGCTTAAAATTTTCTGAATCTGTCGGATTCGGGATGACCGGGAACAGCACACAAACGGAACTGGATCACACGAACGGATGGCGGGGATCCGCTCGTGTCGGATCGGGTCGGTTGTGTGGCTGATGGGCTCGCGTCGATCGGTCATCGCGGGTTTCCGGTGGTCATGTCGCGATCGGCGGCGGTCCGTCGGCTCCGACTGGCGATGATCGGCTCGTCGGCGGTCCTCGACCTTCGGGTCGTGGATCATTGACTTCTGTGGAAGATCACCGGGTCTAGATCACCTTTGGATCTTCTACTGGCGATGATCGGCTCGTCGGCGGTCCTCGACCTTCGGGTCGTGGATCATTGACTTCTGTGGAAGATCACCGGGTGTAGATCACCTTTGGATCTTCTACTGTATTACTCAAACACCTCTTCAACTTGTACCAGTGGAGCAACAAGAAGAAGATAAAGCTCGAATGAGAATTGAGAGAGAGAAAGAGAGAGAGAGGCGCAGAGCACGACTCACGAGATTTGTGATGTTCTTCTCTTCTCAAGAGCTTAATGATGTATATATAGAGCTACATTAGGGATCCTTAGAACATTAGGAATAAGGCTTCTTAATTAATTGGACCAACTGTGGGCCAAATCCACTCCTCCAAATCCCCATGTATTATACGAAATCTGCACGTTTTCCCCGTGTATTTTAAAAATTGCGTCAAACCCCCTCGTATTTAATGTTTTCATGCACACTCGCCATTTAATGTTAACGGCGTTACTTTAATACTGACGGCATTATTTTTTTGCTAATTTTACCATTATACCCTTACTTTATGATTGATTTTACCATTTTACCCTTACAACTAATATGTTGAATTAAAAACAATGTCAGGAACCGTACACATAACCTTTGGGTTGCAAAAAAACACTTTGACCAACTGAGCTATTAGAAATTTAGTTACTATTGTGACTATATCTATATATATCACACGAAATGACGAAAATAATATAATAATTAAGTATATAGATTCTAAATTATAAATAAGATAATAATTTAAGTAATTATTTTCTAAGTTGTAAATATTATAATAATTAAGTAAATATATTCTAAATTACTAATAATATAATAATTCGATATATAAATTCTATATTTTCAATAATATAATGATTAAATAAATGTATTGTTAATTAAAAATAATTTAATGATTGAATAAATAAATTCTATATTATAAATGATATACCAATTAAGAAAATAAATTGTAAATTATAAATAATACAATAATAAAATAATTAGATTTTATAAAAATTTAATAAATAGATTATAAAAATAATATAATAATTGAATAAATTGTATTCTAAAGTATAATTATAATTATAAATTATAAATTATATAAAAATTTAGTATACAGATTTATACTAATTGAATTGATATAGTCTAAATTATAAATAATATAATAATTAAGTAAATAGAATCTAAATTATAAATAATGTAATAACTGAATAAATTACAGACTAAATTATAAATAATAAAATAATTAAGCAAATACTATAAATTATAAATAATATAATAATTTTAGTAGTAGATTCCAAATTATAAATAATATAATGATTGAGTAAATAGATTCTAAATTATAAAGGATGTAATAATTAAGTAAATATATTCTATATTATAAATAATATAACGATTCAGCAAATATATTCAAAATTTTAAATAATACAATAACTAGATAATGAGATTTTAAATTATAACTAATATTAGTAGTTTTATAAAATTTTATATTTATTAATATTTAAAAATAAATAAAATAACCAAAATTTATTTATTTTATTTAAATCTTATAAAAAAGGATAAGTGATATTTTAATTGATAGTTTTTATTTATAAATAGTATTTTATTTATTTATTTTACATTTACCTGAATTTAAAATAAATAAACTTAATAAATAATAAGTACTTCAATTATTTATCACAAAGTCAAAAATAAGAGTTTTATTGAAAAAATAAAATTCATATATTTATTGACATTTAAAAATGTTAAATAATATTAAAATAAACAAAAGAAATAAATAAAGTCATATATAGTTATTAAATAAAAAATAGATTATTTTAAAATTGCTGCTTTAATAATATATTATATATAGAAGTATCATTTTATTTTATTATAAATAAATTTTATTTTATTTATTATACTATATTAATTCAATTCATTAAAAAGTATATTTAAATTTTTTCCTAAAATTTATTTT